TTCTTCTATGTAGTTAACAAATATAATAATAAGAAAATAGCGGTCGAAGCATGCATTATCATAGATATGTTAAAGTCAATGCGGGCTCAAATATGAGACGAAACAACTTCGTGTAATAATAGTCCATTCTACATTAATATTTATAAAATAAACTATAAGTCTATAACAGTCAAATAACTGAGTCCAGTATCAGTATTCGGTTTAGAATTATTTACCAAAATAAGCTAATGTTCATAATATTCAGGTTTCCCAACTACCAACCATAACGTTGATTGAAAAGCGATGAAAAGACCGTTAAAAAGAGAAAAAGTAAAAAAAAACCAGCTCAGTATGCATGGCAAACAGTGGTGGAACCTGGCGCCTCCGGATGCTAATCCCCCCAGAAATTAATTGGGCTTAGCCTCCCCCGCAAAATAATAGATGAATAATTTTCACACAGTAAGTAAAAAACTTCAAATAATAAGAATAAGAACTTCAATGTGTTTATTTTGTGTTATATAACAACGTTAAAGAATTCAAGCAATTTCATTGGTCGAGAGCCATGATCTTAAGAGGACAGACGCACGAAATGACGTCACATATAAATTTAACGAATTTGATCTGTCATCTCTTGTTTTATTTTGTTACCCAATCGCATTTTAGCACGTGTCTTATTATTTATAATGAGGTGTCCGCCATCTTGTTTTATAATTAATCTAATTAAATGACGTCACAACCAGAGAAAAACTTTTTATTACAAGTGGATGCTTCTTTGTAGCAAGCATATGAGTGAATTTAAGACATGATCGATGGATTAGTATTTAACATCATTCACAAGGCACGAGAAGCGCTGAATAAATTATAAATTTACTCCGCTTGGGATATCGTGCATAACCAAAGACATACATGAATATCAAAGTCAAAGATGGCGGTATGTGCCATTATTATTGCTACGGTAAAAAAAGGCTTAATTTTTAAACTATGATATCTTCCGAAATCTATATTAACAAGACACAGTACTAAAATGCGGTGCCCGCGATGCTCACCTAGAGATAAAATGTCCGCTCATTTCTAACGACATCACCAACCTACATTCGCCTGTCGGCCGCTGGTTGGTTGGTACATTAAGGTCAAAATTGCACTTAAAGCTTTTAAAATAAGATATTTTGGCCTCAAAATGCTATCGAAGTGAGGAAAAATTGAAACAATAGTAAAGTTTAGCATAACAAATTAGCGATTTGTCAACAATACAATTTCGTTTGTCTTTCAAACGTCATAAATCGCTGCGAATACTATTGTTTAGTAATACATTTAAGAACTGTAAGTATAATTTATTACGCTGAATCGAATGGTGGTATTTTTGTCCTTGGGTGCATAAAACCAGAGATACATGCAATCACCAGAGTTTGAGATTGAAATTAAAAAAAAGACTTTCCTCGAAAAAAGGAATTCGGCAAACGTACAACAAGATTTATAGTAAATTAGGAATAAATTCCAAGCATGTGCAAGGAATTTTTTATAGGCGATTAAGGAAACGTATTGATGCGAACAAACAAACTCACAGGCAGAATATAATGCGGTGCCAAACTTGGCGCGGCACCGCAATAAATAAAACATGATTTTTTAGTTAACCTTTCTTAGTTTTTTTTAGGTAACTATTTTTTCAGGAGGTGAACCGACACTATTATTAAGATTGGTGCAACAGTAAAAGTCCGGTAAGCTATAAACATAAAACGCCAATTACTTTCGGACAAAAATTATCACCGTTTTACTACAATAGGATTCACAATTCGAATTAACAGTTCGTCTATATGGATCACAAAATAATTTTGAAAAAATTCCGCAAACACTATTAGTAGAAACTATATGTAAGAATCGTCGTATTCACTATTTTCACTAAATACCATGATGCTGTGCGCGTGCATATCTTGGGGTACAAAAATAACCAAAATGGCGACGTTTTGATTTTGGCGGGATTTAGTACCCCAAGGAATTCGCGCGCACAGCATCATGGGATTTAGTGAAAATAGTGAATAGGTATTTAGAAAATCTCAAAAATAGTTCTTAACAAAAGTGCCTTCCACAATATGGACTCGAAGCTTAGCTTTGTGAAATTGCGGCTGTTACATGGTGATTTTTTCTCAATTTTCAAGTCCTAAAGCTTTCAGAGACTTTAAGCTGGAACAAAACTCACTATCTTTAATGAATTTCTTTGTCTCCGGCCACTAACAATAGCTACATCACCAACTGTCTCTGATATATAAGGACTATAGGCTTCAATATGAATGCAATTAAACTTTTGAAATACACATATATTTAAGTTTAAACGTATTATACATCTTTCTTTCTAATTAGTGCAAATTTGCAAGTATTTGTGAATACATAAACATGACAATATGAGGGAAATTAGCATACACAGCTAACCAAAGATCACAATATGAATTTTCAAAGCCAAAGGGTCCTCTTTTCAAATACCCAAACCTATACGTTCGTGGAATGACGATTGTAATATTCGTACAAACGATGTTATCCACGTTCGTACAAAGCATGTTTTATAAATTGCATTTAAAAAACCAGATGGCGTTGGTCAGCAAAATTACCTAATGTGTCTAATTCAATTATGTTTACACATCAGTGGCGTAGCCAGCATCGATAATTGGGGGGGGGGCATATTCATATATTCATGTTAACAGACTCTAAAGACAATTGATTTGAAAAGAAATTAAACCTGCGTATCATGAATATATGAATATTGCCCCCCCCAATTATCGTTCTGGCTACGCCACTGTTAAGCATCAACTGGTTATTATGTAAGTGTGAACTTACACTCAAACCTTGTTAACAGTACGAACTTTACTGAGCTAGGCCCTGGGCATGTGACAATAGCCGCCTTAATTTACACTAGAAGCCTAGATGTGGTAAAGTTGTAATACTAGTATGGATCATACTATTAAGTTGAAAATAGATTAAACAAGATAAAAAGACTAGGTAAACCCATTTACATTACAAAAATTGTGCTGCATGTCAGGTCCATGCCTGGTTGATGATTACATGGGAAAACCTGGCCAAAGTGCGTTTAAATTATGACCTGAGCTCTTGCAAGTGCCAAATTAAAAATATACGGTTACCAGTCACCAGTAATCGCCTCAATAAAATACTAACATGCCACCAATAATAGCGGACTGCGATTCGTGAACATTGCAAGAGCCCAATACCCAATAAAAAGACAGAGATACGCAATTAAGTTAATGATATGAAATCATTAAGACAAAATAACCTAATAGCTGACGAAGAAGTGACAGTCACTTCAATCAACTGAAAACGTACAAAAGCTATCATAAGGAAAATTATCATATGTGGGCGAGAAAAGTTCAGTGAGTTGCGCAGCAATTTCTGCCTATCACAAGCTAGTCTAATGCGACACTACAACATACACTACACAAAGGTAAGGTTAAATTGATTTTAAGGGCAAAGTTCTCCAAAGCTGACAACGATCCCTCCTCGGCAACATTTCTTGTTATTAGGATTGTAGTATTCTTTGCCGCAGCATTTGAAGTCAGATTTCTTCCTGTGAACTTCACCACAACAGCAAACATGAGTCATTTGATTATAATCCGTGCGACCACAATGCTTTCCTGAAAGATAACAATATATAATGATGATATAAAGTGCATCGAGGTTGATCTGCTGAAGACTTCCTGGAATGATATCCTGGAAATGTGGAAGTGAATAAATATATCAAACTTAGATTCTATTTTGGTTTTCTTTCAACAGTGAAGCTAACACATTTCCCAGATTCCCAGAGAATGTAATAAGCATTTACCTGTAACATGAATTTCCACATGACATAGTATATCAGTAATATATAAACTGGTATTTCGCGTATACTTGTACATCAGAGTGTGTTCACCAACACAGAACCAGCCAGAGGTATCTTTCGGATTATCTGGGCTTGCTGTGGTCTGACAAGAGGGAACAGGTTTCGACCAACTCACCAACACCTTTGTCTCACCCGTTCGTACTACTGCTTTCACTATTTGGGTCCCAGGACATGTGCATACTGCAATAAAGATGTCTCGCATTACGTAATTTTAGTGTGCAGTGATAACCAATTTGTGCAGTAATAAAAGTAGATTGTTCAGTGACAAATTGAGAAATTTTCAGTGATAAATTGAGAACTGTGCAGTGGTAAATGATATTTTCACAACAGACCTCACTCTTCTCAGATGGGTTAATCAGTAATTGTCGCCCAAAATGCGGGAAATCAACGCAGAGGGACTCAAAAATACAAATAATTCTCTGTGAGAGATCCTGCAGACCCCCTACAATTATCCAATCTTAATTTTTTTAGTATTCTTCCCCCCTCCATTACACTATTTTGATTATATGTGCAGTGATAAAAAATTCTTAAAATTAGCTGATCAATTATTATTACTTTTGTGATGAGTGTGATCTCTACAAACTGTATCAAATTAAGAAGTTAGCACAGAGTAAATGTCTTCTAATATTATGCACACGTATTGTTAGAGAATTCTTTTGGTATGGGTAGGTAGTTATATAGTCTTAGAGACCCCCCCCCCGCTCCCCAGACACGATCCTGGGAAACGATACTTTTGCTAATGGAGTGTATATATGTTTTTAGACATCATTTGAAAAATGGGTCGCGCACAACTGGGCTTCAGGAAAGTTTTTGTCCTTACTGGGTGAGCTGTAAAACATGTGAGACCCCGTTTACATGAGACCTGAACGAAGATTAAGATTTTCCACAAGTCTACATGAGGCCGATACGAATTCCGAAATTCACCCCATCTTCGTAACTCATGTACTACAAACTATTTTTTCAAGATGGCGCCTTTGAATACCGTATCACTGCTCGTTTTGTAATATCATTATGCGATTGCGTCACATGCATGCATTTAAGATTTTTGCTGCGATTTTTTACGCGATTTTGTGAACGAGTAACGAGTTGCGAATTCCCTGATTTATAAGAACCCTTATTTGAATGTCATGCAGTGACTAATTCACTTATTTGTGTCTATAAAAAAAGAAAATACCACATAAAATCGGGGCAAAACCTACGAGCAGATTCGTGGTAACGAAACTCATTACCCGACGCAGATTTTCCGACTAGGGCTCTTCTGTTAACAAAAGATGAGACGCCAAAGGTGAGTTTACGACATCCGTGAGAGCAAAAAAAATTTAGAATTATTGGTATTATATTCCCAATGAAACGATTTAGCAAATTTTTAATTATCGCAAAAATTAGATAACTTATTCTTTCCGTTAAGCCAGCAGAAATTGTAGCTAACACACGCCCAACTTCAGTACAAAATGTTTCATCACCGGCGATAGAAATCAGAGTCCTTGACCCCTTCTTTAAGTGATTAACGGCACTAAAGTTCACTATCCAGATGATAGAGTTACACAGACAATTGCACAGATAAAGTCCGAGTTAACGGACGCTGTTAGATATTTGCTCAGAGAGCCAGCTTATCATGTTTATTTTTTTTATCTTTACCTTTTGAAACACATTCTATTCCAGCATCTTCGTAATGACTGAAATAATTTACTCCCCATCCACTATGAGAACAACTTATGAAATTTTGCTCCATTCCTTTGCATCCAACCCCGCATAACCATATCCGTCCAGAACCATGAGGAACCTGACCTCCACGAAGAGCTCTAACAGCATCTTGATAACCAAGTTGACGACACACAACTCTAGCATCTTTGAAATCCCATCCATAATCAGAGATTGTTCCCCATTGTCCATTGAAGAAAACTTCAACACGTCCTGTTCCATTTTTGCTTAAAGATCCTTGTAACCTCAGCGTTATATCAGCTGGAATGTTTAAAATATCTAAATAAAGCTTGTGTGAGTTATGCTTTGAATAGTTGAATAAATAGTAAAGTCATTAAGTGAAACTAATATCACGAAAATTTCTCATTTCATTTCTCAGGCCCATAGGTTTCCATTGTCTTTTAATGCATACGTCCAAGTGAAAAATTCAATTCGAATACGATTCCGTTATATACTGACACTGTTCAACACAATTAAACCATTGACACTTGTATACTTTGCCGCTTATATTTCGGGGTTTATGTTATAAGTTTAAAGTCCCGTTTACACTTGCGATTTTTGTTCTAATTTTTTGTGCGATTTTGCTCTCTCGATAGATGTAAACGAGTAACTAGTTACGAATTCTCTAATGTATAAAAACTCTGATTTGAATATCAGTAACTAATTCGTGTTTTGCGTAATATGTTTTTAATTGTATTGACATAATAACTGTATATTTCCTTCCCAAGAGCAGATTCGTGGTAACGAAACTCATTACGCGACATCAATTTTTTTTGTAGTGTTTTTCTGTTAACAAAAGATGAGACGCTAAACGTGAGTTTGCGACACCCGTGTAAGGAAAAAAAAATTAAAAAATTGGTATTATATTTACAATGAAACGATTTAGCAAATTTTCTATCATCGCAAAAATTAGATACCTTATTCTTTGCTGTAAGCACTGAGCAGAAATTGTAGCCAATTCAAGGCGAACTTCAAAAAAATGTTTCATTACGATAGAAATCATAGTGATTGACTCGTACTTTGCGTGATCACCGGCATTAAAGTTCACAATCCTGATAATAGAGTTAACAGACAATAGCACAGATTAAATCCGAGTTACACAAGCTGTTGAGCCTCAGGTATAAATGTCGTTAAGTCGTCCAGCTAATTCGACCCATTTTTAAAGATTTAGTAGGTCAAGTTTTTAAAATTAAAATTGTGTCAGAACAACAGGAAAAATCACTTTCAAATGAGAATTAGGAAAACATTTGCGTTTTTCAGAAATATGCCCAGAGAGCCGCCTGAACATGTTTATTTTTGTATCTTTACCTGTTGAAACACATTCTACTCCAGCGTCTTCGTAATGACTGCAATCATTTTCTCCCCATCTTCTATAAGAACAACTTGTCAAATTTTGTTCCATTCCTGTACATCCAACCTCGGCTAACCATATCCGTCCAGAACCAGGAGGAACCTGACCTCCCTGAAGAGCTCTAACAGCATTTTGATAACCGAGTTGACGACAAACAACTGTAGCAACTTTGAAATACAATCCATCATTACAGATTGTTCCCCATTCTCCATTGAAGAACACTTCGACACGTCCAATTCCATTTTTACTTAAAGATCCTTGTAATCTCAGCGTTTTATAGGCTGTAATATTTAAAGTGAAGCTTATGTTGACGTTTTGAATAGAGGAATTAATAGTAAAGTGAATCTAATATCACGAAAACTTCTGTTTTCGTTTCTCAGGCAGTGCGACCAACTGATCGACCGAGCGAGAGACCGAGCGAGCGACCGACTAATCGACCGGCTGACTGATTCGTTAGAAATTTCGCCAAACATAACAATATACTTCAAAGTTTCAAAGAAACTTTTCACTAAAAATGAAACGCCAAAGACGAGCTTGCAACATTGCGTGAAAACAAATAAGAAAGATTATAAAAACTGCTATTATGTTCCCAATGAAATGATTTAGCAAATGTTCTATTTGCTTCATATAAGATAACTTATTCTTTCCTGTAAGCAAGCAGAAATTGAAGCTAATACACGCCCAAGTTCATACAAAATGTTTGCTTTCGATAGAAATCATTGCCATTGACTCGTACTTTGCATGATTAAAAGCATTAAAGTACACAAGCCTGATAATAGAGTTGCACAGACAAAAACTTTCGTATAAGACGTCAAACGCGGAAAGTCCTATGTTACACGGAATTTGATTAGCTCGCCAAAACTATCGAGCCAATCAAACTTCGTACAACACCAGACTTTCCGCGTTTGACGTCATTATGCAATAGGTCTATTGCACAGATAATAGAAACCTTACGCAAACAGGACGACACCTTCGTAATGGCGTGTAGAAATGGCGTTAATCCCGCTTTTGCCATTTATATGCATAAATCAGCAACAAGGGAAGCAACGCCATTTCCTACACGCCATTACGAAGGTGCCGGCCTGTTTGCGTAAGGTCTCTAAAGTCCGAGTTAACGAATGCTGTTAGATTATGCTTATTGAGCTACTGTAACATGTTGTTATTTTTTGTACCTTTGCCTGTTGAAGAACATTCTACTCCAGCGTCTTCGGAATGCCTGCAATCATGTTTTCCCCATCCTCTATTAGAACAACTTATCAAATTTTGCTCTATTCCTTTGCATCCAACCTCATCTAACCATATCCGTCCAGAACCATCAGGAACCTGACCTCCCTGAAGAGCTCTAACAGCATCTTGATAACCAAGTTGACGACAAACAACTCTAGCATCTTTGAAATCCCATCCATCATCACAGATTGTTCCCCATTGTCCATTGAAGAACACTTCAACACGTCCTGTTCCATTTTTACTTAAAGATCCTTGTAACCTCATTTTGTTTGATATCGTTTTATTTGCAATCGACATAATACCAGTCCTATTCCCTCCTAAGTGCAGACGCGTGGTGACGAAACTAATTATGCGACGTGAATTTTTCCAGTAGGGTTCTTCTGTTAACAAAAGATGAGACGCCAAAGGCGAGCTTGCGACATTGCATCGGAGCAAATAAGAAAGATTAAAAACTGGTATCATGTTCCCAATGAAGCGATTTTTCAAATTTCTATTAGCGTAAAATATGATCAGTTATTTTTTTCTGTAAGCAAGCAGAAATTGAAGCTAATATACGATCAACGTCATGCAAAATGTTTCATCGCGATAGAAAGCATAGTCTTTGACTCATACTTTGCATGATCACCGCCAATAAAGTTCACAATCCTGATAATAGAGTTACACAGACAATTGTACACTTTAAAGTTTAAATCCAAGTTAATAGAGGGTGTTGAACCACAGGTATAAATGCTGTCAAGTCATTTACCTAATTGAACCCATTTTCAAAAGTTTACAAGGTCAGGTTCAAGGTCAGGACAGGAGGAAAACCACTTTTAAGTGAGAAAAAGAAAACATTTCCGTTTCTCAGATATGTTCTAAGAGAGCCACCTTAACATGTTCATTTTTTGTATCCTTACCTGTTGAAACACATTCTGCTCCAGCGTCTTCGGAATGCCTGCAATAATGTTTTCCCCATCCTTCATGAGAACAACTTATCAAATTTTGCTCCATTCCTTTGCATCCAACCTCGGATAACCATATCCGTCCAGAACCAACTGGAACCTGACCTCCGTTAAGAGCTCTAATAGCATCTTGATAACCAAGTTAACGACACACAACTCTAGCATCTTTGAAATCCCATCCATCATGACAGATTGTTCCCCATTGTCCATTGAAGAACACTTCAACACGTCCTGTTCCATTTATACTTAAAGATCCTTGTAATCTCAGCGTTATATTAGCTGCAATATTTAAAATATCTAAATAAATAAAGCTTGTGTGAGTTATGCTGATGCTTTGAATAGTGGAATAAATAGTAAGATGATTAAGTGAAACTAATATTCCGAAAAGTTCTCATTTCGTTTTTCAAACCTGTAGGTTTCCATTGTCTTTTAATGCATAATCCAAGAAAAAATTCAATTCGAGATCGATTCCGTTATACTGCACTGTCGAACACAATTAAACCATTGACACTTGTATACTTTGCACGCTTATATTTCGGGGTTTATGTTACGCGTTTATATAAAGTTCCGCTTGCACTTGCGATTTTTGCTGTAATTTTATGTGAGTTTAATTTTTGCTCTCTCGATAGATGTAAACGAGTAACTAGTTACGAATTCTCTGTTGTATAAGAACTCTTATTTGAGAATCAGTAACTAATTCACTCATTTGTATCTATCAAAGGAAGAAAACAGCACATAAAAACGCAGCAAAAATTGGAAGTGTAAACGGGCCTTAAGGTTTTTTAGAATTAAGCATTTTTATTTCGTTGTTTATAGACCATGCAGAGTTTCCGAGCAAGGTTTTGTTTGATATGTTTTTAATTGCATGCGATATAATCTCTGTATTTTCCCTTCCTATAAGCCGATTCATAGTAACAAAACTCAATACGCGACATGAATTTTTCCAATAGGCTTCTTCTGTTGACAAAAGATGAGACGCCGAATGTGAGTTGCGACATTCGTGAGAGCAAAAAAAAAGTATTCCCAATCAAAAGGTTTAGCAAATTTTCTATTAGCGACGAATAAGATGACATATTCTTTCCCGTAAGCAAACAGAAATTGTAGCTAATACACGCCCAACTTCATACAAAATGTTTAATTACGATAGAAATCATGGTCATTGAATCGTATTTCGCGTGGTTAAAGGGAATTAAGTTCACAATCCTGATAACAGAGTTAAGTTGGCTCTCTGAGCATATATCTAATTGAGTCTGTTAACTAGGACTTTATCTTTTCAATTGTCTGTTGAGTTAAAATGTTTAGTTTTTGTATCTTCACCTGCTGAAACACATTCTACTCCAGCGTCGTCGTAATGACTGCAATCATGTTCATCCCATCTTTCATGAGAACAGCTTATCAAATTTTGCTCCATTCCTGTGCATTCAACCCAGTTTAACCATATCTGTCCAGAACCACGAGGAACCTTACCTCCGCGAAGAGCTCTAACAGCATCTTGATAACCGAGTTGACGACAAACAACTCTAGCATCTTTGAAATCCCATCCATTATCACAGATTGTTCCCCATTGTCCATTGAGGAACACTTCAACACGTCCTGTTCCATTTTTACTTAAAGGTCCTTGCAACGTCAGCGTTTTATAGGCTAGAATATTTCAAGTGAAGCTTATGCTGATGCTTTAATTAGTGGAGTAACAGTAAAGTGAAACTAATATCACGAAAATTTAAGGTGTCGTTTCTCAGACACGTAGGTTTCTATTGGTTTTTTTTTTGTATGCTTCTCTCCACCGATACTGTTCAACACAAATAAAGCTTAGCATTTGTACGCCTAGCACGTTTTTATTTCCGGTTTTACGTTTAAGCGTTTAGGGTTGATAGAATTCAACCTTTTTTCAATTAGCTATATATAAACCTTTCGAAATTTGAATACACGTTACCCTATAGCATTCAGTACAAGTTGTGGTTAAGTAATGGATGTAAAACAATTGGTATTATTATTGGAGTGAAGAGCATACCTGTGACACCAATTCTTACATGACATTGGATGTCAAATGTTCCATACTTGTCGCTGTACGTGTAATTGTAGTACCGCGTGTAATTACCAAGAGAAAACAAGCCAATAAGTTTCGGATTAGCGGGATTTGGTGTTGACGGGCATCTAGGCTTAGGTTCTGTCCAACTGACTAAGATCTTCTTGTTCTGGCCTTCTTCAACTTCAGAATTCACTGTTTGTGTGCATGGGCAATCACAAGCTAAATTGCAAAATAAACTTTCTGAAATTTACAGGTTTATTCCTGTGACGAAGAATTAAGAGACTAAAGAACGTACAATTAGGATATCAAAAACTTTGCTAGTATATACGAGATATTAAAGAACTGAAATTAATACTGTAACTGCCGACTTAATTACCAGCGACTTGCGGTCTCGAGTTTTATGAGGTTATTTAATAACAAAAGTAAATAGCAAGGAAACCACGCGTGATCCAGAAGTCAGGTGTTTTTGTCGAGGTGTCCTGCGTCAGCCTACCTGTTATATTGCGTTCTCACTCCATTTGCGGTAATTAGTTGCTCGGCACGCAAAGTGTAACTAGACTAACAAAAATTTTAATAGTTTACATTGAATGAACCTAAACTTCGTCCTAATGGATTTACACACGGCTGGTCCTTCTTCGGGAGATTCTTCTACCCCAGCTGCCACGGGCGCCAACATCAACTGGAGCGCTTCCTTTCAGTCGCCAGAGTTTCTCTCAAGGCTTCAGAGCGCAATGGGTAGCTTTGCGTCCACGTTGTCCCACACTCTACGACGCATTTGAAATAGTTGGGGGATGCGGTCGCATCCACTTCCATCGCACCAAGGTAACTTGTCTGTGCCTCAACAAGGTACGTTATACGCTCCTTAGTTTGTTACGGCTGTAAGGCTTTAAGCGATAGTACCTTCACTCAACACCTTCGCTCTATGCTGATGACACGAAAATTTTTGCACCCTTTAATGACTGCTGCGATCTGGTTACGAAGGTTAATAGTCATCTTGAAAATACATGTAAGTGGATGATACAAAACAAACTTCTGATCCATCTAATAAAACGAAACATATGGTATGGTATGGTATGGTATGGTATGGTGGTTGGTGTGGTGTGGTATGGTATGGTATGGTATGGTATGGTATGGTATGGTATGGTATGGTATGGTATGGTATGGTATGGTATGGTATGGTATGGTATGGTATGGTATGGTATGGTATGGTATGGTATGGTATGGTATGGTATGGGGTATGGTATGGTATGGTATGGTATGGTATACCGTATGGTATACCGTATGGTATAGCCGAGTTCTTCCTCGTCCGAATGTAATGTCGTACCAACGACACCGAATTATTTTAGCAAATTTATCGTCCGTTTCGGCGGATAATACGGTTTGTGGTCCGTACCAGCAACAGCGCATTATTTTAGCAAATCTATTTTGCGTTTTCGCGGATAGAAAGGTTTGTCGGTCGTAACCAGTGACAGGACGTTACCCTGGTCAATCTATGTTGGTCATCCTCGGGCCGGCGTCCATAACCCGCGCTTCGCTAGCTCGGTATTTGGATGGGTGATGCTTGCACCAACTCTTGGTTGCTGTTCGAGATACCTTTGGCATGGATCTTTCCTTAATCCAAGTTCCATTGCTAGTTCCCAGGCAATCTGCAGCCTTGCCTAGTCCCCAGGCCACCCAGGACAAAAGTTTGCATATACCCTTCCTAATTCGTAACTACGCAGCGGGGACAAGGGTTAATGTTTGCCTTACATTATGTAATTTTACGTCAGGTTTTACTGAATAATAAAGCGATTAAATTATTAAAAAACTGCGTGCTTCATAGCGGATAAATCTCCATTAGGCTTGTCAGTGATTAACGGAAATTTCTCGGTCAAGAGCGGCTCTATTGCGAATTTGCAGACCGAGAGCAACAATTACTTACCGACAACAGTGAAGTTAACAAAACATTTGAACTCTATAGTCTTGTTATTGCGTTTATACGAGTAGGGATAAGTAATCACGTGCTTGCCCAGGGAGAAATTTGCAGGAGACCTGACGTCAGGTGGATGGACTTGGCCTCTCTCATAATCAGAGCACGTGACTTCTGGTACTGACCAATGTAGGAGCCTTTTGATTTCATTAGGTTTAGCATATGCAATAAAGTCATAGTTAACGCCATCTCTGCATTCACCCCCGCCTTCAGGTTAAAAAAAGAATTAGTGTTTACTCTAAATTTGCACAGCATAAAGAGCAAAATTTTTTGAAAAGTGGAAATACTACAGATTTATGGGGGATTTTATTTAATATTATTTTGTTTTATCCAATGTAAAATTTTATATAGAATTTGG